TGAATTTCGGACTGTTAGAAAGAACCAACAGCACCGACCAAAAGAGCATACTGTTTAGAAGCTTAAAGGCGGCATCGGATTTTCAACAAAAATACGGAGGAAAAATACACAAACTGACGGAGGAAGAGGTGAATTTTTTATGAAATGGACGATGACGAATGCACCGAGTGGAACAAAATATCGGAAGGGGAGACATACCACATAGCGAATATATCCGATAAAGCGAAGTTGGTGAATGGGTTTGTTTATATACAGGAACTGCTACTGCAACAGCATAACTTTAATATGTATCAGTGCTATAACAGATTACTTAAATGTGGTGTTAAACCGTGTAGTGTCAAAACCGATGCATTTGTTATAAACGCCGAAGACCTGCCCAAGGCAAAAGAAGCACCGGGCATCAAAACGGGGGCATCTACAAAGTGCGTAGGTCAGTGGAGGGTAAATAAAAGCGATGAGGATATAATTATGCTCAGTCAGGACTACCACATAAAAGAAAACGAAGCAATTAAAATACCCGTGTATATAAACAATAAGATAGACATACAGGACGAATACGACACAACAAAGATTATAGAAAATATGTTTTCAGTAAAGCACGTGATGATTAGGGCTAAATATGCCGGTTCTGGTAAAAGTTTCATATGTGAAAAAATCAGGGACTTAGGTTTAAAAGTGCCGTTCGTGTGTCCCACTAACAAACTGGTTCGAAAATCCGGAAAGGATGCCACGACAATCAACAAATTCTTTTCCGTAGCGGTCGGCGACGAAAAGTTTGAAAAGTTCGACTACTCGAATTATGACTGTATAGTGTTTGATGAGATTTACTTCAATGGGCTGAGGGCTTTGAATAAGATTAGGGAGTTCGTGGAAGCACACAAGGATTTAATGGTGGTGGCAACCGGCGACGGCAAACAATTCAAGCCCGTATCGAAATAACCAACCTACACGACCACGAAGTGTATGCCAACAACTGCATAAACAAGATATGCAAATATCATATCTATCTGCGAGAGTGCAAACGGTTAAAAGGTCAGGAAGACAAAGACAAATTATCAAACATATACGACGACATATTTATAAACAAGGTGAAGACGAAAGACTTAATAGAAAAATACTTCAAATACACCGACGACATACAAACACATAACAACAACATAGCATACTTAAACGATACGTGTAAGGAGGTCAGCAACGAAATAAGGAGGCGTCAAAACCGCACAAACGAATATGACATAGGCGAGGTGGTCATATGCAGGGAGTATCTAAAAACAACCCATAAATTTCAAGTTAATTTTGAATACATAATTGCTGGGATTAACGGCGATAAGGTGAAACTAAAAGAGGAGCACGAAGGACATATACAAACCTTACCCGTTGATGTTTTAAGGAAGCACCTAATATTTAGTTATTGTTATACCTGTCATAGTGTGCAGGGTTCAAGTACAAACACGGGTATAACAATCTTTGATTATCATCATTTTAACATTTCTAAGGAGTGGCTCTGGACGGCAATCACGAGAGCCACCGATTTAAATAAGGTCATGTTTTACAGGTATGATGATAATAAAGATACTACATTCAATAAACGGTGTATCTTTAACTATTTAGAGCGTAAGGTGCAGAACTACAAGGAACAGGACAGGGCGGGTAACAGAAAAATAGACCATAAGAACTACATAACCGCCCAGTGGCTTTTGGATAGGTTAAATGGATAGGTTAAATGGTTTCTGTGAAAAATGTAGTGAAAAATTTTTATGTTAAGTTAAAAAGCGGCAACATATCAACCAATCTAACAGCACAAAGAAAAGACAACGAGCAAAGCCATACTATAAGCAACTGCATAGGATACTGTGAGAAATGCAACTGCGCGGCAAGTGATCAGGAACAATTCTAAGAAAAAAAGTTTTGAAAATAATGTTTAGTATTTTATATGTCCGAAAGTTTGGGTAATACAATTAACGACATCAACAGCACATTGGAAAACATAGATAAGAAAATAGAAGCGATACATAACAAAATATTTACACCAGTTCCAAGCAACACAACAAAAACAAAAGACACAACATACCAAAACAAAAGAGCGGCGTATTTAACAAAACTAAATAACGGAGAAATTGCAAATCCAAAACCAACAACGGTGGAATATTACGAAATCAAGAAGGAGGACAACATCTATTTATGAGCATTTTTTTACAAGGTTTAAAAAATATGTAGATTAATATGTGACCGTTCAAGACGAACTGTTTGAGATACAATACAGAATAGCAAAACACGAATTGAAGAAGTTAGAAAACATCAGACAGTCAAGAACCGAAAACAAAAATAAGATGCTAAAAGAAAAGACCACACTAACAGAAGAAGACACCAAACATTTAGACGAAGAGATGGATTTTCTGGATGAGCAAATCTCATTACAGAAGGAAATAATCAAATTGTATGAGGTAAATTACCAATAAAAATTCTATTCAACAACAAAGAATGTTGAGTAGAATTATCAATTCAAAAATCGTTAATTTCGGGTTTGTGAGTTAGGGGGCAGTTCGGAAAGTTGATTTGGAATTCAGATTTCGGAAATTTGGGATTTATTGTTGGTTAAATTGTGTGAGGTGGGGATGTCAAAATTGGGGTTTTTCAAAAAAAATGTTCCAAAAATGTATGGTGGGATACAGGGTTTTTCGGAGGAAGCGTTGGGGCGTGAGCCGTGAAATGGAGCGTGGCTGCCGCTAACTGGGGAAAGGGGGGGGGAACTGAAAATGACAGAACCCGCCTTGGGGGTCACCTGATTCTCGCGAACCGGCCCGACCCCCATGCTTTCAGCCTAGTTCCGCCAGAGCTGCCCGCGCAATAGTAAAATAACGTCCAAACCCTGCTAATGCTTTGAGGCCGGGCGCCTCGGCGGATGCATGCAATACGTTGCACAAAGTGGTCCAGGATGTTCCTTGTCTCTCAACCCTGTCCTTTTGGAGGGTCTCGCCAGTGGATATCTCCACTTGCCCGAAGAGACAAAGATGCGGTTCATCAAGACCCCAGAGGTCGACCGCCAGGTTTACAAAGCCGTGTCATCGTATGTCGCCGTGGAAGTGTGTTTATTGAGGCCATCCGCGAGGTTCTTCCTCAGTGCGGCCCCATCACTTATCTCACTGGAGATGTTGGGCGCTATTGTCAGGACATTTTTGCTGCAGCTGCCAGCTAAAACTGGCCGAGCGTTTTGCTGCCTGCAATTGCCTGCAGGGCGACATTCTGGAGTTTGTGGGCCGTTTGGATAATCAGGCCCGTTGCACATGGTATACACGGCATGTGTGCGCACCCACAGTTATAGCATAGAAATGTGTTGAGATGTTTCGATTCGGTGTGCACTTTGTGTTGTGTAGGTGAAGCTGCGGGGTCAACGGGTGGAGCTCGGAGAGATCGAGGCCGCGCTCCTCTCGGCCCAGGCGGTCACTGAGGCGCTATGACCTGCAACATTGATGCCAATTGCGCACACATGAAGAACAAGCATATGCATGATGCTTGTAACACGTTGTTCTCTGTGTTGAGCTGTCAACAGCTTCAGGATAACACCGTTCGCTTAGGATCCTGGCTTCCACACGCATGAGAATACAGTTGTGCAGCGGCTTATGAGCTAACTCTGGAAATCTTCAAAAAATGAAAATGGAGAAAAATCCAAAATAGATCCAAATAATGTGCAAGCGCAAGCCGGAACCCGAAAAAAACAAAGCAAAAACCGTGAATCAACATCAAAAAACAAATCAGGAAGCAAGAAAAAGGAACAATAAAAGCAAAGCATGCAAAACTGAGGCCACAAAGGAAATTACAACAGGAGAAAAACAGGCAAAAGCAAAGCAAAAAACCAGGAAGCGAAACCGCGAAAACAAGAGATCCGAAAATGAGAAAACACGGAAAACCATATGAATTTGGAGAAATTTGAAAAATGTAGAAGATTATTTTTGCGTTTTTTCTCGACTTTTCTCAAATGTTCCTTTGCTGTTCCTTGTTTTTCATTTTTTGTTCATTTGGTTTTCCTGTGTTTTTCCTTGTTTTTGTTCCTTTTTGTTTTTGTTTTTCATGTTTTATTCCGTTTGTCATTTTAAAAAGGAAAACGAAAAAGGAAAAACAAAAGGAAAAAGAAGGAAACGAAAAAGGGGAAAACAAGATGATCCGAAAAAAAGAAAAATGAAAACACATTTCTTAAAGTGTAGAAAATTCAACATGTTTTCCGATGTTTCTGGACGTTTCTCCAATTGTCATGTGTTTTCCATTTTCACATTTTTTTATCTTTGTGTTCCGTTGTTTTTCTTGTGTTTTACTAATGTTTTCCGTTTTTCTTTTTTGTTTTTTTGCATTTTCCTTCGTTTTTCTTTACGGAAAATGGAAAAACAATGGACAAATGAAAAGCAATGGGAAAAACGCAACGAAAAAACGAAAATTTGGATCCGAAAAGGAAAAAACCAAGGAAAATCAGAGGAAGACCATTGAAGAAATGTCTAAACGAAGGTAGAAGATCATTAATTGTTCCGACATTTCTCGACGGTTCACCAATTTTCCTGTGTTTTTGATTTTTCTCCTTTCCGGATACCTTTTTTCTCATTTGTTAATGTCCTTTTTTGTTTCCTTTCTTGTTTCCGTTCGTCCGTTGCTCTGTCCTTTTCTGCTTTGTCTTTGCTCCTTTTTTTTTTGCATTTTCGGCTGCTTCCATCAACATCGTTTGTTTTTGTTTAGCATTTCGGTTTGCTTGTGTTCTCTGTTCTTGCTTTTGTTGACAGTTTCCCTTTTTCATGCCCATTAATTTTGCATGTTTGTTTGCAGTATTGTTGCATTCTTCCCCTAAAGTATATTTGTTAAAGGCCTCCTAATGGTAGTTCTAAGGCGCTACACACGAAAACAGCTTCATTCTAATATATTCTAATCTTGGAAGAACCAGACAAGCACGTTCTTGTGATTTCTTGCGCTTTGGTACATTAATTTGTGGTCCTCACTGATATCCGTTGCCTCGCAAGGCAGTGGCGCTTGTGCATGGCGACCGGCTGATCGGATATTTCTCGACCTTGCAGGTCCAGATCCCCAATGGGCACGAAGCATGAAGAAACGTCATGTTTGACATGGTGCTTCCGTCGAGTTCTGGTCAGGGTGTGGAGGAAGGCGAAGCTGTAGCACAATGCATTGACAAGACCCGGCAGCGTTTGCCCAGGCACCGTCATTTTTTTTGCTTTCAGGTCCACAGGCTCGAGCATCACTGAATCAGGTACATGTGGCCCGAGCTTGTCCACGTCAAAGAGTGGCCCAGGGGTCGAACTGGCAAGGCTCTGGTGCTCGGCACGAATGTGGTTGGCACTTTAATCTAAGGTGTTTTCCTTGCAGGTGGATCGAAAAGCTTTGCCGGTGCCAACGATCTGCGTGCAGGCCACAGATTTGCAATTGTTGGATCTGGTCGGCTGCTTTTGGCAGATTTGCCAGGACACCATTCCGCCCAGGCTTTGCAAGCTGAAGGAGCAAACCGCTGCACGTATACATTGCCAGGGTTTTGGCCCAGGTCAGCCTTGGAGGAGAAGATTCTTGACATTCTGTGCCAGGCGAAATCAGGAATCTGCATGATCATGTAACTTCATGAGCCATCTTTTTGGAGTAACGGAAAAGCAAAGGAAATATCTCTCGAGGTGCTAAGGCGAGATCCCGCAGTCACATCTGTTCGCTCAGATTTCTTCACGCGGGGAGCCCGAGAGCAAAAAGCGCCGGTTTGGCTTCTGGCAAAGGCCCGGCAATGTATCAACGATGAGTCTTTGAGGTTGGGAGGCACATCACTGAAAGCAGCAGCGCTGCTCTCCGCTCTGAGGGCCCAGGTGCCAGAGGCCGTCAAAAAACGAGCGCGAAATGCAAAACAGGAAATGCGGGGGAAAATATGGGAAAATGGGAGCAAAAAAAGGCCGCGGCGCTGCAGTTCGAGGAGCTCTACGCCCATCCGGATGCAGCGAGCCTGGCACAGCTGCTGTCTGGCAGCCGCGAGGCGCCTACGACAAGAAAAGCATATAGGACTTTGCTTGAAAGCACCTACAAATACAAATAAAGGCTAATTAGGAAAATTTGAGATAGTCTTGCGGATCTTGTAGGTGCTTGTCCTGGGTCCTGCACCAGTGGAAGGGCTGCTGCCAGCCTCCCTGGGCCAAGAGCATATGCCCCTTGGCTCTCCTTGCTGTACGCACTTGGACATTGGATGCGTGGTTTCACTGTAGGGGTTGTGAGAAGAACTGCGCTGAAAGGCTCATTCTGCAGGAGTTGCACGAAGGGAGCTCGGCATACAACTCACCCCTCATCCTCAAGCCACGCACCCGAAGCTCTCAGTGTTTGCTTGCGCATGCTTGCTCATGCTTGCACCTGATCACTGCAAATTCAGGTTAGAGGGATCTTTGGACCGAGCCTTGCTCTCTTCCGCACTGGACCGTGCCATGCGCCAACACTTGCAGCCATTGGTGAGTGACAAATGTGAAAAGGAGAAAACAATTTTTGAGGTCCTTGCGAGGCACGACGTGCTACGCAGCAACTTGCTGCGAGACTCGGACGGCACGGTGCTGCAGGCCAGGCCTGCAGAGCACGACGCTTCAAAAGCATGCATTTGCAATCATTTGCATGCTTGAAGAATTCGAAAACACATTGCGCTTCAAAAGGCACTCTGCGTGGATGCCGCTACTTGCACGCGTGTAATTGTACGCATTGGTGTGTTGCTGCACACTTAGGTCACCACTCCTGCTGCTGAATTCCAATGTGACATGGAGTTCTGGGATATTCCGGAGCAAACCTTAGGACTCGATGCTCCCATCATCTCGCATCTGCTGTCTAAAGTTATCATCGAAATGTTGCTCAGGATGATGCGGCACAACGTCCTCAGCGCCGGCGGCTACGCCCGCAGATGACTCTCAGCTGCACAGAGATGGCGAGAGGAGCACAGGCAAAACGGGGGGCTGCGCGGAGAAAAAGGGAGCCCCCAGGCTTTCGCGTCCAGCTGAGCGAGAAGCTCCAGGAAGAACGGTGGAGAAGACACCTTAAGGCCTTAAGGCTGAGTAGAGCTGCCACGAGCTGCATGCCGCAAGGAGAAGCAGAAAGTCTTCACCGCGCAAGCTCTTTCCAGCACGTTGGCTCATGGCCTGCGGCCCAGGCTTTGCCGTGGCAAAAGAGGATTTGACAAGTCTCTCGTTGCTTTTCTTTTGAAGGGGGGGTTCTCTATGAGGCTCGGCCTACGCACGCCCGAGCGGCCCGAGCGAGTCACACGAGGCTTCTTGGGCCGGGTCTCGCCACCTTTTTTGGCTCGCTTAATTCGCACTGAGGCATCCGCACCCCAGAGAGGCCGGTCGTTGGTGGTTCAGGTGGTTCAGCCATGAAAGCTCATGAAAGTTCACGAAAAAATATGCTGTGCGCATGACCCCTTGCGCGTGGCCAAGGGCCGGTAGCTGGCGGAGTCTTCTTGATCGGGCCAGCTGCCATGGCATGCCACGCAGGCCATGCGCAGCACGAGTCATTTTGGTTCGTAAGGTACGTCGTCCAAGTGGGTCCCCCTATCAGGCGAACCGCAACATGTGCAGCACGTCTCTTGCATTCGGCATCGTGTTGTGCCGCAGTCAGGGCTACAACTCGCCGCCGTTGCGGTCGCCAAACAGAGACAGGGAAGCCCAATCCTTAGACAGCCGTCTTGCAAAGAAGCAGCCATCTAAAAGCAAAAGCTGTCTTACTTTAACTTACAGCTTCCAAGCTGTCTTATGAACAGAAAGCCTTCCATTTCGCATGTTTCGTCCTTGTGTCAAACTCGCGTATCAGGACCGTATGGACCGCATGCCCTTGGCAGAACTGCCGGAGCCTAGCAACATCCAAAGCAGCGTAACGCAGAGCCACCGAAGGCAAAAGAATGAACTAATGAACCCCCTGGCGAAGGTCGAGCACCAGCAGCCTTAGTTTGGGTGACTTCGGCCGTGCGCAGCAGTGGCACGGTGCCTGTGAGGGGTATAGTATGGGATTTTGCACTGTGTTGTAGCATGTGCTGCGCTTCAGGTCGCCGGGTTGCTTTGAACTAGTGCTTTCCTGGTTGATGGAGGAGGCCGCATGGGGAGAGTCCTCATTTACAGGATCGTTGATACTTCTTGTCCCAGGCCAGAAGGCCTTTCAACTTGCGGGACGACCCTTTGATTCGCGTCATCTTGGCCAAGGCACCTTGTCACTTCAAAAGGATATGCAAATGTGTCAATATTTAGCATAAGGCAAGTCCCAATCAGCATTTCCTGTCAACTCTTCTAGCTGCGAGTGCCGAGACGCAAAGAAGTCTGGTAGCTGTGGGTGCTTCGACGAAAAGCCATGGCGAAGACGCCATGGCAGTGGACGAACGCGAGCTCCAGAAGGAGGCGAAGTCTTTTTGAGGCGGATCGATGGATCGATGGATACCTCCAGAAGCTGCGCTTTCTACCTCCCGAGATCACGCTGATGCTTCGGCCAAGGGCCTCGAAGTATGCAGTGACGTGCCACACGCTGACACCTTCAAGCATGCTACACATGCTCTTGGAGAAGAGCGACATGAAGTCTTGAAGGCGGCCCTGGAGCAGGAAGAGCCAGGGTGCTTGAGACCAGGAAGCGCAAGTTGACCGACCAGGAGGGAGGCACGGCTTGAATCGCTCTGAGGAGCCCAAGAAAAAGAAACCAAGTGTACGGCCATGGCCTCAACAGAGTTCCAGCAGCATGGCGTCCCAGACTTGTGGGGCATGATCGTCGCGACAGCCTGGCTGCTGTTCTTGTTCAGCAAAGCCTGCCGGAAAATCGAAGCAACGTGGCTATCCTCTGGAGACAAGAATCCACAAGCTGCTGCACGCGCACTGGTCACACCTAGTCTACGAATACCCAGATAATGGTAAATCTGGCAGGGTAGAGATTTATTACGAGGAAGCACTCAGCGTCATCTATGCCCTTCTCAACGAGGGCCTGGCTCTGAGTTACCAGGAGGTAAAGCAGGAGATGACCGATGGACCTGCTACAAAAGGTCGAGGTAGCTGATGAGGAGTAGCTATGGACCGTCTCCTTCGATGTACAGCTGTAGCTTGAGGTCCATGACGCCTCCTGTCAATAGTACTAATGTGCAGGACCCTGCCGAGTTTCTTTGCGGGAGACCTGGTGTACATTCTGTGTGCTTGAAGCTGGTGGGAAGAAGTCGCACAGCGTCCTGCCCCTTCTGCTTGATCTTCTGAACTTTGTAGGAAAGCCAGGTCTGGTGGGTTGACACTGCCAGGCGTCGGAGACTAGTTGTACTCTCGATCGCTTGAGTCCATAGGGGTTAATCCCTTTCACCGTGTATGTTTTCTGTGTATGCTGTATTCTCATCTCATCTGTTGACATAATGTTGGGTTCAGATTGTTCAGGTGGCTCCTTCCTGCCATTGCATGCTGATCAACATGCATCATGCTGCCGCAGACCCAGACATTGTAGCAAACGGCGTGAGGAGGAGTGTCAGATCCACAGTGTGCCCTTTGCAAGGTCACCGATGGCCGATCGCTGTCAATCCTGAGGCCACAGACAGCCAGAAGCAACAGGGGAAAGATGGCGGACTTAAGCGCGTTGACTTCCTCATCAGGCAAGAGTTGACGGCCCATTACAACGCGCTGAAGCTGGCAGAGGCATGCGCACAAAACGCACCAAGCACCAGAAACATCGATTTTTTCAAATGGTTTTAAGCAAGAGCTCTTAGCAGTTTGTTTAAGCCGTTCCTGTGAAGGCTCCGAAGCTCCCGGCTCTGTCCATGCAATACGCAGCCGCTCAGATGAAGAACCAATATACCCACCCAAATTAAGCAGAGTTTCTACTTGTTATTAAAGCTTGGTAATTGCATGTAATTGCGTTTGCTGAGGACTTCGCATTCTGTCAGAGGCAGTGGATGGCTCAGGCATCCTGCAACTGCAAACGGACATCATATACACTGATCCAATGCTTAAGTTGGGTCGAATGCCTGCGATCAAATGGCTTCTCTGTGCCGTGCTACTGATGTGCTGCGTGGTCAGGGCCGCCTTGAGAGCGAGCTGGCTTTTTGGCGCTCCCAGCTCCAGCAGCTTCCAGCACTGCAGGCCTCCAAAAAGCAGAACGAAAGAAGCAAAGAAAAGCTGTGCAGCTTTTCTGTGCAGCTTTTCTGCCTTCCCTTTCCCTGCAGCTCCTCACGGATTTCACCCGGCCGGCCCACCTGGCTCTGGACGGCGGCCAAGTCCAGCACACAGAGACGACCTAAATTCTGAGCCTCAGAAAATCTTAGCAGAGAAGGAGCAGATTGAGCAATTTATGACATTTATGAGGCTTCGCTGAGCTTCGCTGAGCTTCGCTGAGCTTCGATTCAGTGCTTCGTTTCAGGTCGCATTCCAGCTGCAGCCGGGCCTGGTGAACCGCCTGCGGAGCCTGGCACGTGCCAAGAGCGTCACCCTCTTTGCGCTGCTTCTAGGCAGGTTGACAAGTGCAAGACATTTAAGAGATCTCTTTACGTACTGACTTGGACATCTTGGACCGCTGGAGGCCTCTTTGCTATGGTGCTGGCACGCTGGGCTGGCGCAAAGGAACTTGCAATTGCCTCGCCTGTGGGTCATCGCCAAGGGCCGTTGCCTTATGCCACTTGGCAGAGCCAGCGAAGCAAATCTAAGAGAGCCAAAAGCTCAAGGAGCGCTGTGGAGCCGCTGATAGGATACTTCGTGTGGCGGCCTTTTCGAGCCCTGGCTGTAGATGCCCCGCAAGCTGCTTCAGAGGAACACAGTGCTCTTCCGCGTGGACCTGAGACCCCCTTGCACTTTCGAGGCCAGAAACATGTGAGAGAGAGGCAGGGACGTAATCAGAGGTTAAAGCTGACCCGTCTAGAATAAGAGAGATGCTCCAGAAGCACAGCAGGGGAAGTTTGTGCGTATCAGGGTTTGGGAGTAGGCAAGGTAGACGGAAGGACAGACCAGTCAACTGTTAACCCAACACAGCTCACACGTTCGCTCACGCCAGTCGGGCGCTATTCAAAACGGGGTGGGGAGAACGCAAAGGGTGTCCTTCACAATCTTTTCTCTGCGTCGTTGTTGTTTTGTACAGAGCCCCTGTGCGGGGAGCCTAGCCCGCGCGCAGTCTTCGGACTGCGTACGTATACTACGCAGAAGAAAAGAGAGGGAGAGAGAGAGACAGACGCGTGCTCAAGTGTGGGGCATTGCCCCAGCCTCCTCCGCAAGGGGGGGGTAGCACAGCGAAAAGAAGAAGAAGACGCGTGCTCAACCCTGAATGTGTAGCACTCCGGCCCTCTCTTAGGGTTCCGCATAGCCCATATAGAAGAAGAGACAGAGAGACAGAGAAGAGAGAAGAGAAGGGCTAACATTGCTTTCTCCAACTGCTGTTTGTTGACAGGAGCTTCTGCTACGCCTCCACAGCACAATGTTGGGCGCTTTCAGCCATTCCTCAACCCCGTACGCGAAGGTCTTGGAGGTCACAAAAAGAAGTCTGAATGTTTCTTTTCTTCAGCCTTTGAATTTTGAGACTTGCCAGGCTGCGGGTCTGGACCCCGCAGCGGTGCCTGCCCTCTTCGTGCTGCAGGAGCCTGCACATGTCTTGCAGACCCGACAACTAACCCCAGCACACCTAGGACCGGAATGAGGCAGCCTGGAGCATGGAGGCATGGATCCTGAAAGCGCTGGGATGTCCACTAGATATGGGGCGTTTCGTGTTGCCATGTGTTGTTGAGGGCTTGCGAGTGGAGCAAGTGGAAATCAAGCGGAGCGCCGCCCTCTTCGATCTGACTTGTGAGATGCAGGAAATGCGGGGAAAATACTCAGCTTCGCATTCTCAGCTTTCTTTAATCTTTGCAAGGAGATGCCTGGCTCTGCCGGAGGAGGGGACATCAGTGCATCTTCTCCAAGCAAAGAGTTCTTTTAAATTCTGCCCAGGACTGCAGGGCATCCTTGCCGCTTGCATGCAATCCAAAGGAATGACACATGCAAAGTTTCAGCCGACCCGTGGTACGTCTGGGCGTGAGGTTTACAACAAGCAGTTGTGGACCGAATCGCGGGCTGGGCGCTGAGTTCTTGCCTGGTGGAGATGAGTACTTGAGAGTTTTCCGCAATGCCAGTACCTGAGGCTGTGCGGTTTGTCGAAAGTCTGCAGGTTACGCATAGTTACGCTAAACTACACTCATGACTCATGATAGCAATTCAATTCTTGAGACTCTGGCTGCAGACTTTGGCCTTGGCTGTGGCGGAGCAGCCTGGTGTAGACCTGCTCCACCTGTCAGCCGGTGACCAAGAATTCTTGGAAATTAAAGCTTTTTTCAGCCTTCAGCTGAGGTAGTTTCGAGCAATAGCAGGGCGCGAGTCCTGGAGTGGGGCGGTCACAACCGAGCCGTCCAAGCGCCGACACCCTTGATCAAGGCCTGAGATCCTCACTTTTCGTTTTTCGCGAAGCTCGGAAGCCCGCAAGGCCTTGAAAGTGCAGCTTCTCCAGTGCCAGCAAGAATCCGCGATCCTGGTTGGTGCAGCTGACCCAGAAAGTGTGTGTTTCAAATGTGTGTAACTTCAGATGGCAGCAAAGCATGCGTGTTTTGGGTTTCAGGACCGTGCGGTGAGTTACAGCGAGCTTCAAGCGAGGGTGGTGTCTCTGGCCTCCGTTCGGGTCTCAGACCTTGGAACTGTAACAGGAGCGTGAGATGGCTTGAGCCTGTGAGCACTCGCAGTGCCGCAGCCGCTCTCGTGAATTGCTAAGCTGCTAAGGCCTTGAGGCAGCGGCCGGAGCTTCAGAGCCAAAGCCTTGAAACGTCTAACTCCTCTTCACCCTCACATTCCTCGCATTCCTCTTCCGAACTTCTTGTGGCTTTGCTGCTCCCTCGGTCCGTGGACCTGGCTGTGGCCATCTGGGCAACCTTGAGCGTGGCAGCCTACGTGCCGGTGGATCCTGAGTACCCAGCGGAGCGCGTTTCCCACATCCTCTCCAGCGCCCAGCCACGGCTGGTCCTGATGCGCAAGGAGCATTAATGAGCATGCGAAGCATGATCGGCATGATCTATGGGTTATGAGATTGCAAGTCTTGCGGACGCGCGGGGTGCCCAGATCTTCAGGCCCTGTCACGGGTGATGCATGCTGTAGCTGTGAATGATGCAGGGTCTGCTGCTCGTAATACGACTGAGATTAAGACGAAAAGGGTACGGATTTCTTCTAGTTGCCAGGCGTCTTGAGAAGTCTTCATCCTCTATGGGCTGCATTGCGCCAGCGAGATTCTGCCAAACCGAGTGTGGAAAATCCTTTGGGTCATCACAATATCAGCCTACAAACCGGTGTGAGGACCTACAACGGAAACCACGGCCTCATTCAGCGACATAAGATACCTTGAAGGCCTGAGCGTCGACAAAGGCAAGATGTGGAACAGCGTGCATAGCTACAGGGAATGGTCTATCCGTCTATCCCAACCTTGACCGAGCTGACAGCTGACAGATCTTTTTCCGGCACCAGCCAGGCAAGCAATGAATCACACTCGTTCGGACTTCAATGAGTTGCTGGATCTTCGCTCCGCGCGTGTCAGGGAGTTCCAAAGTTGGATCCCGTCCAACACGAGTCAGTATGTATAGGCTTTCCACAAACATGACAACCCATTCAACCTGTTCTTACGTACTGGAGCCATATGTTCGAGGTGCAAGCCTGTATTGAGATGCACATGAATTGACTGATGATTGCCGTGCATAAATACATTATCATCCGGTTCCGGCTTACGACAGCATTACTTACTCCCTTTCCAGGATTATGGAAACTGGGTCGACCAACACCTGGAACTATTCATGGTCGAGCATAACCCTGTGATCTGTGATGATGTTGGACATTTTGGAGGGAACAAACCCTTTGAAATGTTTTCTTGCGGCAGATTAAACACTGATAGCCTCTCGAAGGCAAATTTCCGATAACAAAACTAAGCACCACAGTTCGGCTGCTGTATCCCTTTTCTTAAGAAGCTCTCACATTGCCAGACACGTCTTGATGCCTTCTCCTCTTCAGCCAGTCTGGCTTGAAACTGCAAAGCGTTTGGGGGACTCGGGCCCCATATATGTCCCTGAGAACCTAGTTGTTACACCGGCAAGGGCAAAATGCTCGGCTTGGCGGAGGTCAAGTGGATTGAACGAGATACATCATGTCTCCTTTACAGTGAAGGCGGATACGCGCTCCAACGTAGCATATTAAATCACATGCGTGCCTGCTGCAGAAAGCCCTATGAAAGAAATGAGGCAAGGAAGACCAGAGCCATGGATCCCAAACACGGCATATGCACTTGAACAGAATTGAAAGACATTTCCATGACTCGGAGAAGGATGGTTTTGCAGGCGGCCGACGGCTGACCTCCAACCCAGGAGCAACCAAGACCATTCGAGCAAATAAGAAGGTGGCAGAGCCCCCAGAAACTCAGGCCTGGCAATGGAAATATGCTTGGCGTTTTGATGCGTTTTGCGTCTGAGCGGCTGTTTTTTTATACCCATTCTGTTCGCCGCGATTGCATCACTCTACAAACCTTGGTTTCATCCATCGAACCGTTTCAATGGGTGGCAGGAGCATGAACAGCTTGCCGGCAGCTATCCAATCTTCGGGACGTGGCAGTGGCCCGACATAGACGCAAAAGGAAGCCTAGAGGAACTCCGGCAGCCGGCTCCGCAACAACTGGCCTACGTCATTTACACCTCGGGTTCTACGGGACAGCCCAAGGGTGTGGCCATTGAGCATCGGTCGGCTGCAAACATGGTGCACCAGCAGCTGGCGCTGATGCGCATCAAGCGCCAGGATCGTGTGCTCCAGTTCTTCAAGCCAGCCTTTGACGGTGCCGTGCAGGACCGTAGATTCTTGTTGTTTGCGCGGAGCTTTCTTGAAGCGTTGCGTATGTTGCGTGCTGCAATGTGCTGCAGCGCTGGAGGAGTACCTGAGCACCTTCCTTGCGGGGGCATGTTTGGTGATTTGGGATGAGAGTGAAGGAGAAAGTTTCGCGGAGGCCTTGGAAAACCATCGCGTAACGGCCGCCACGCTGACGCCCTCGGCCTTAGCGGTGCTGAACCCCTCAAACCTACCCGCCTTGGCCACGATTGCCGTGGCGGCCGAAACCTGTCCACCTTCGCTTGTGAACCTTTGGACCTCTTCGTCGAAGCGGATGCTCAATGCCTATGGCCCCTCAGAGAACACCGTCGTCACAACCTGGGCCGAACTGAACCACTCCAATGAGACCTTCATCCTGCGCTCCTTTGACAGCCTTGACACTTTGACTTCAGCGCCTGTTAGGCAGGAGCAAGTACCCATTGGAACTCCCCTTGCTGGGGTTCAGTGCTACGTGTTCGAAGCAACAGCAGTGAAGTCTCTTCAGGACGGGCCGCTTGAGAGTGATCACCTTGAAAAGTCGTTTCGGTTGGCAATCTAGCTAAAACTGCCGCTGTTTGGAATCGAACCTTATAGGCTCACAGCCCCGAGTGTTGGAGGGTATAGCGGTGTGAATATTACAGAAAAACCAGGACATGCTCCGAAGTTGCCAACAACACTAACACGGGCCTGGGCAGAACTTTGCTGAAATTGGTGCCCTGCAGAAACTGCAATCAACCCTCCGTACTGGTATGCTATTCACTTTGGTGACTGACTGCTGACAGGCGATCGGTACTCCTGGCGAGCTCTGCATTGGGGGCGTTCAGCTGGCTCGAGGTTACTTTGGGGATGCGGCCAAGACAGCGGAGAAGTTCGTGACCAACCCCCTTCTCGGCCAAAAGATAGAGCGGATGTACAAGACAGGCGACATAGTGACTTGGCTGCCACAAGGGCAGCTCCTCTACCTGGGCCGAAACGATGAGATGGTCAAGGTGCGAGGCTTTCGCATTGCAAGGCCGGCATGTTTGAATCGCAACGGTCTTTTACCCCTGTGAAAAGCACTCTCCTGCCATTGGCCTGCCAGGAGCTGGCGGAGGTGGAGGCGCGGCGAAGCCTCACCAAGAAATGTTGAGCTGTCGATCCTTACAGGCAGCACTCGCAGCCCTGGGAGCTCAGGCGCGCGGCGAGAATGCAACTTGAAAGTAGAGGAAACTGCAGGCCGCTTTCAAAGGGCTTGTTTTTGTTCGAATCTGTCTCTCATGTTGTAGTGTCCAAAAAAGGAACCAGGTTGATAAACAACCTTGGTGCTTCATTGTTTGGGCTTGTGCATTTTTAGGTTTAGAGAACGTTCAGACCATAATCTCGTGCGTACGATCACGAGAGCATCCATACCCAGACCATATGAACGCTCGTGGTCCAAGAGCATAAGATAACCACAGCATCCATGCCCAAACCATAATAACGTTAATGTTCCAGTGGACTCGATGACAAGAGCATCTATGCCCAAAGCATAATAACGCTCGT